GCAAAAGAACAGAACGTTTGACAGGCGGTGGATTCGAACCCTTGACCTCTCGCACTCGGTGTGACCGCGCTAGCCACTCGGCCATCGCATGCCGTGAGACTCGTCAACAACTAGCCCATTTTAGAGGGCCGTTTCCAAAAAACTCCCAAAAAACAAAAAATGAAGGTGTTTGACAGGTGGTGGATTCGAACCCTTGACCTCTCACACTCGGCGTGAGCGCGCTAGCCACTCGCCCATCGCATGCCATAAAGGTCGCCACGAACTAGCCCATTTTAGAGGGCCGTTTCCCAAAAACTCACTCCTCCGCCCCCTAGAGCTTCGACGGACAAACGGACTGACATTTCAAAATAAAATATATAGGAAATATTTAGATAATTATGTTTGATTTTAGATTGATATTTTACCTGTGCCATAGCTGGACTTGGTGTGTTTGTTGTAGACAAAGCCGCGGCTTGACCTCGATAGAGATTGCGGTCAAAAGCGCGATCGGAGATTTTGGGATAATGATCGAGATTGATGGAGGTCCGACGGTGAATGTAAGCAGCTAGATATTGGAAAATAAGTACTATGTAATGTAGATACTTTTTTTTCGGTGTCTAGGTAAATACTTTTTGTTCTCTCAACTGATCCTGGTCTAGTTCTACGCCTTGTAAAGAAGATTGGTTCTGTTTTTTAAGAATATTAACCAAGAAATAAAAGATGGCTCTGGCAAAAGCCAGGCTTAACCCTAGCAGGTAGTCAAATTGTTTATCAGACATTTGATACAAGCCCCGCCCCTTTGCCGTTGAGAAAACTTTGAGCTCTAATTTCTTGGTGTTGGGCTGTTCAATTTAAATATTTTTGGTAACATTAGATGCGCCAAGTCTTTCTCTGTCGATTGGTAGAAAAACTATTTAAATGGAACAATCCAAAGCCAAGATATTTGGGTTCAAACTTTTGCCAAGGGAGCGGAGCGCGTATAAAAGGTGGGACATACGCGTCCCGCCCCCTTTGCAATGTAACTCAAATATCTTGGCGTTGGGCTGTTCAATTTAAATAGTTTTTATACCAATCGATAGAGAAAGACTTGGGGCATCTAATGTTACCAAGAATGTTTAAATTGGACAGTCCAACACGAAGATATTTAAGTTCAAAGTTTTGCCAATGGCAAAGTGGCGGGACTTGTATCAAATGTACAATAATCAGTAAAATTTGCTTTTGAAATGACAATGCTAATGCTATTGAGCCCACATTGGACTCTTAAGCTACCGTAACTCAGATTTGAATCGACCTAGTAACTCGAATCAAATGCAGATCTAGAAAAGAATTAAAAACACTTACCGTACTCTCATTCTGCACAAGTCCATAGTCACCCTCAATCGGGAAACACTCGCACGGGACGGGACCACTGTGGAATTGACAAGAGGACAAAGAATCTAAAAAAATTGGGTTCTGATCGGAATTCTGGTATTTTGAGCCACACTTTAAACATCCAGAACTTTGCCCAGAGCTAATATTATTGTTAACTTATTATATCGTTTTATAGAAGACATTTCAGGCTTTCAAATGATACCAAATAGAGCTTGATTGGATTTTTCATTCTGATGCAAACAAGGTGACACGACACCCGAGTTGGATAGGCTTCATTCGCTCAGAGTTGGCGCTGCTTTTCTTGAACTGGATTATCCAATCAAGCTTTATTTTGTATCATTTGAAAGCCTGAAATGTCCTCTATACAATGATATAAAAAGTTAGCAAAAATATGGTCTCTGGGCGAAGTTATAGGCCTTCAAGCTTTCAAGCTTCAAGAGGACAAAGAATCTAAAAAAATTGGGTTCTGATCGGAATTCTGGTATTTTGAGCCACACTTTAAACATCCAGAACTTTGCCCAGAGCTAATATTATTGTTAACTTATTATATCGTTTTATAGAAGAGATTTCAGGCTTTCAAATGATATTAAATAAAGGTTTATTGGTACAGAAAAAATCTGAGAAAATCGAGAGACAAAACTCGGCACTGTGCTCTTGGTTTAGCCACTTGTTTTTAAGTAACACAATGGTTTAAAAAGATCTAAAATTTGTCTCTGGAAATCTGGAAATAGGAAATCTTTGGATTCCGGTCACGAGACAAAAATTGTCTTCTAGAAAAGCTGTGATAGACTTGATTAGATGATAGACTTAGATGATGATAGATTAGATGATAGATTAGATGATAGATTGATAACAAACTCACTGATAATTTGAAAGGCTTCAATGCTAGACGAGTTTAAATAGGCTACAGAGTTCACATGTGGATGCTCGGGGTGAAGAAGGGAACTGAAATCAGAAAGTTAGCATTAAAGTCTTCCTTTTGAGTACTAGCACTTCTCATTGTCTAGCAATCACAAATTTCTTCATTCATTTCTTTATTTATTTCTTTATTTATTTCTTTATTCATTCACCTTCTTTGTGCCGTGTTTATCGGGATTGCATAAAGCAACAAGCAGAACAATGAGAAGTGAAAAACCCGCATCCGACGCATCCGAACGCATCACATGATTTCCGGGCTTTGAAAAGAAAGAACTGCCTGAAAGATCTAGCTGAAAGATCTAGCTGAAAGATCTAGCTGGAAGATCTGGCTGAAAGATCTAGCTGAAAGATCTGGCTGAAAGATCTAGCTGAAAGATCTAGCTGAAAGATCTAGCTGGAAGATCTAGCTGAAAGATCTAGCTGGAAGATCTAGCTGGAAGATCTAGCTGAAAGATCTAGCTGAAAGATCTAGCTGAAAGATCTAGCTGGAAGATCTAGCTGAAAGATCTAGCTGGAAGATCAAGTAAATTTGAGTGGAAGGATTTCAAATACAAACTGTACAAAAAGAAATCGAAAGACAACATGAAATTTATCGTATTCAATCGTAAAACCGATCATTTATGATAACTGATTTATTTTAAATTCTTTTCAACGCCTACAATTTCTCCTCCTGCATCTATATACACTACAACTTTCTGCACTACAACTTCAATGTCACTTAGGCAAAGTAAGGCCCTGGCCCTGGCAAAGTAAGGCCGAAATCAGGCCCTGGTCAACGACTGTAAAGAAGTATTCTTTTCGTGCCTGGTACTCTTCACTCCAAGACACGTTATTTCTTGTTTCGAGACATCTGATCTCTCTTGAACTAAGACACTTTATTCAATAGCCGACTGACTCGGAATTTTTGGGCTTGAGCAATTTTCTTGAGCTTGAGCTCAAGAACTTGAGCAATTTTCACACAAAATCGACAATTTTTGGTAAACCTGAAGGAAATGACCCTCAACACCAGTCTTTATTGTGAATCCATTCAATGATGACACTCTTTGCCTCAGCTTTATCCCATTTCTATTCCAACTCGGCTCTAATATCTAATTTCAGACCACCGCTTCTCCAATAATAGAAGTCGGCGGCGGTGTTCTAAAAGGGAAAAGGGTATCCTTGAGTCATCTAAAGAGATCCGATGAGAGGAATGGAGAGAGAATGAAGAGAGAATGAAGAAAGATGGATACACAGATGATCGAGTTATTTCTCTTTCTCCCAGGGTCACCAAATGCTTCAATGAATTAGCCGATATTAATCAGAGTTGAGGGTGCCGGGCAAGAAATTGTGCTAGCTAGAAAAGTGATTAGTTGACTTGATCTAGCAATAGTTTATGGCGCTTGCAATAGAAATTCGAATTGGGCCGACTACTGAGTCAATCTAAAAGACTGGATTAAACTATGGAAAACTATGGAAAACTATGGAAACCTATGGACAAAGCCAGTCAACAAAAAACTATGGATTAATGAATGAAAGTTAAAGTGCCAGGGCTTCTGTGCGCAGTGCCGGGGCTTATGTCTCTTGAGCAGGAGGTGCGGGGTTCGATCCCACGTGAAGCATTTGGTTTGAAGGATTTCCTTTTTGCTTTGTCGATGGTTTAAAAAGAGGATATTTAGCTGTGAATTTGTACTGAGGGGTTTTCGGGGCCGGAGAATCGATTGGAGATATTCATTTGGCTGAGTCTCTCAATTAGAACTCGGATTTACTTGGTCTTTGATGAATTGAAGATGTACATTAGCCTGATTACCTATCTATCTGGAAACCTATCTTTTTTGGATCAAATAGCCATCTTTCAATGGTAAACTCGATGATCTTACTTTAGCTCGATGATTACTCGATGATTACTCGATGATTCTAACCAAACTGTGAACTGTGAACTGTCCGAATTGAACTGCTAAGAACTGTGCAACTTGAGCTTGAGCTTGAACTTGAACTTGAGCTTGAGCTTGAACTTGAACTTGAGCTTGAGCTTGAACTTAAAGAATGCCGATCAACTGAGCTCTAATGAGGCACTGCAATTATTTCCACCTTCAAATTTGCCCAATTCTCTCACAAATGAGAGGGTATTGGTCTAAGTGATGATCCGAGATTAAGAAAAAAAATAATGATCATTAAAAAAAAGGGAAAGGAAATTACGCAAGTTGGGTTCTTTTCTAAGAAAGAAAGAAAGAAAGAAAGAAAGAAAGAAAGAAAGAAAGAAAGAAAGAGAGAACAATCGTAGCCCGCATTCCTCTTTTTCTTTTCTCTTGTCTTTACATAGCTCTCAAGCACACCTGCCTCTATCCATTTCAGAAAGAATAACTAATAAATCACATTATAATGGAAAAAATATGATTTTTGTTGTGAAAAACAAGTGAGAATGATCAATTGAATCAACGATTTAGAGGTGTTGTGGTTTGTTTGTTTTGGATAGAAGTGGATTTTGGTCAAACTTTACTTCTAGCATGATTTAGTTCAACTTTTCTTTGCTCAACTTTACCCAGCTTTTACCCAGCTTTACCCAGCTTTACCCAGCTTTTACCCAGCTTTACTTTATCCAGCTTTATTTTACCCAGCTTTACTTTATCTGGTTCTACTTTACCCAGCTTTATTTTACCCAGCTTTACTTTATCTGGTTCTACTTTACCCAGCCTTACTCTACCCAGCTTTACTTTATCTGGTTCTACTTTACCCAGCCTTACTCTACCCAGCTTTACTTTATCTGGTTCTACTTTACCCAGCCTTACTCTACCCAACTTTACTTTATCTGGTTCTACTTTACCTTGTTTTATTTCTAGCCTGCTCTCGTTTAGCTAAGCTAGATCTGCACCTGAAGCCTTATCCACTACACCATAAGTTTATATTTCGAGACGGTTAAAGAAGCGTTATATAGAATAGATTCCCTAACTTTTGAAAGAAGCCTTATCTAGAATAGATTCCTTAGCTTTGAAAGAAGCCTTATATAGAATACATTCCGGTGAAGAAGCCTTAGAAGTCCTTGTAAGCTCTTGTAAGCTCTTGTAAGCTCTTGTAAGAAGCTCTTGTAAGTTCTAGCTTTTCCCTTACTTTAAAAGTGTTCTAGAAATGAAATGAAAGCTATCTAGAAATGAAATCTATCTAGAAATGAAATCTAGAATCTAGAATCATAGAATATTTTCAAGAATCGAACAAAATCTTTCAGCTAATCAACAACAGAAAATTTTCACAGCAAAGCAAAACCCGTAAATCAAGAATGAGAGAATTAGCATACGTGTGGGAAAACAATGAGTAGGATCAAGGGAAAGGGATAAGGAAAAGGATCTAAACGGGGCAGAACCCTTCTCCTTGATGGCTCGTATAACATAAGGTCCCTTTCTTTCCTTTCTTTCCTTTCTTTTCTTTCTTTTCTTTCTTTCTTGGGGTGAGCTGCCATTACGCGTTATGTACATATGTGGACGGGTACCTATGAGAGCCATCGGGAAAGATCGAGAAAGACAAAGAAAACATTAAAATTGCCTCAAACTTAGGCTCGAGCTTAGCTTAGCTTAGCTTACTATTAGCTTTTTGAAAGAAACCTTTGAAAGAAACTTTGTATATGAACTCGTTATCTTAGACCTTATCAAATCCAAATCTAAATTCTTATCCAGTCAAAATCTAAACCCAAAATTCTTTCACTAAACGCAATCTTCCATCTTTCAAAAGCAATTAAAATTTAATGGGGTTTTGTTAAATGCTTAGATTCAGATTTGGCTTTGATAAGCTGTTGAATTGACTTTGGATTTGGATGTTTTTGGATTTGGAATTTGATGTTTGATAGCTAGGAGTACAAAGGAAGACCAAGGCTGGTTCTGGAATCAAATCTCTGAGCCAGGTCAGGCCAAGCCATAGACCGAGCTGGAGGAACAGCTTTGATTGACTGGAATTTGATGTTTGATAGCTAGGAGTACAAAGGAAGACCAAGGCTGGTTCTAGAATCAAATCTCTGAGCCAGGTCAGGCCAAGCCATAGACCGAGCTGGAGGAACAGTTTTTAGAACGATGTACAAAATTTGAGATAAACAAAACAAAATCTAAAGACGTAAGAATTATTGTACAATTATTGTACTATACAAATTTGCATATAAAGAATTTGAATCTAAAGAAATAAAGGTAAAAAGGAATGCTGATTGACTGGAATATTGAACAAAAGAATGTAACTGAATGTAAGAATGTAAGAATGTAAGAATGTAAGAATGTAAGAATGTAAAATCGTTCATTAAAAGGATGTTAAAAGGATTTTCTTTCAGAAAGCTGTTTACTAGAAGGTTTGTCGGTTTGAAAACTGTTTTGTTGAGCTATCCTTTGGAAGAAAAAGGGTAATTTAAAGGGTGTGAGTGAAGGGGGAAGACTGGGGCGGGGACTCTCTTTCTGCTCTTCTCTTCTCTTCCATTCTCTTCTCTTCCATTCTCTTCCATTCCATTCCATTCCATTCTCTTCTCTTCCATTCCATTCTCTTCTCTTCCATTCCATTCTCTTCTCTTCCATTCTCTTCCATTCCATTCTCTTCCATTCCATTCCATTCCATTCTCTTCCATTCCATTCTCTTCTCTTCCATTCCATTCTCTTCCATTCCATTCCATTCCATTCTCTTCCATTCCATTCTCTTCTCTTCCATTCCATTCTCTTCCATTCCATTCCATTCCATTCTCTTCCATTCCATTCTCTTCTCTTCCATTCCATTCTCTTCCATTCCATTCCATTCCATTCTCTTCCATTCCATTCCATCCCATTCTCTTCCATTCCATTCTCTTCCATTCCATTCCATCCCATTCTCTTCCATTCCATTCTCTTCCATTCCATTCCATTCCATTCTCTTCCATTCCATTCTCTTCTCTTCCATTCCATTCTCTTCCATTCTCTTCCATTCTCTCTAAGATCCTCCCATCATTCCCTCTTGACACCATCTTCCCTCAAAAGCCGATAATTAAACCTAGGCAAAAAAACTGGAAAACGATAGCCGTTTTGGTGAGAGAAACGGCCCTCATCGGCTCATCGATGCTTTGTAATAAAACCGGGAAAAATTGTGTGCGTCTAGGTCTAGCTCTAGATTTTAAAGTCGTTAACTAATGTCAACTAAAGGTAATGGCGCCAGTCTTTTACTATGCAATTTCTAAGTCCAAAAATAACCGACCAAGATCTCGAGCTAGCCGTCAGCAAGATCTGGAACAGCAAGATATGCCAATGAACAAAAAATTGT